TCATCTGAGGTAAAAGGATGAGAATGTCTCATCCATGGGCATGTGTGAGGAGTATGAGTAGTGAGGTGACCCTTAAGCCTCCATAAGACTTAAAATTCTTTATGTATTTGATAAATGCTGATGTTTCTGAGATTGATATTGTTGTATGATGATGTTGTTGTAATTTTCATTGTAAAATGTGACGAATTATGTACGGTTATGCATTTTAATATTTGTGGGTTGGGGTTGTATGTATGATTTGAGAGGTTTGGAGTGATTTAATTAGTTATGAAAATTTTGGCATGAATATACCTTGGTGATTAGGAGATTTGTCTCTACGTAATTAACCAAATCGGGTTTGGTTTGTTGGCTTGGAAAGTAGAATTTTAGGATTATAGCTTAGACTTAAGAATCTCATAAAAGTGTTAAGAAATGATAGAGTTATGTGAGACACAAGATGATTATCAATTTTTGTGCATAAAAAGTAACATTTGTAATGTGTAATCCTTGTGAGGACCCATAAATGGCAGAATTAAGATTTGTAATCTTCATAAAAGTTGTAGTCTTGGATGTCAACTTTTTAATGGTATTGGAATAACACTGAAAATAAGCTCTAGAACTTAAGTTATGATCAAATTAGTTACCAAAGGTCAAGTTGTCAAAATTAGGCTAAAATATTGTAGTTTTGTAAATTTTAAAAATACTAAATTGTAAAATCAACTTTTGAGGTCAACATATAAGTTATTGATAATTATTTTAGATTTTTAATAAAATTAATATCAACTTGATAACATAGACAAAACTTGGATATCATGTTTAGAGCACATGATGTCATAAAAGCTTAGGATAAGAATATATAATGTGGGAGTTGTAATGGTGAGTTGCTTTCTTCTTTAAGTGCTTAATATTGAGAATAGTTTGAAATACTAATAACAAAAGTTAAGAAGAGAAAGTTTTAAAGGGGATAATTATGGATGAGTGATAAGTGAGTTATGATAAAGGTGTGAAATTGTGTTTAAAAGAATTTATACCTATATGATATGAAATGTGGATGCTTAACTTGAGAATGATGTGTGTAATGTTTGAGACATTAATGAATGATGTTATAATGCTATAATATGTGATGAATGAATAACATAAGTAATGATAATGTATAATGTATGATGTTATGATATGTGATGATGTTATGATGATGATATTGAGCATGTAAGTCTAGGTTGAGGATGACATTGATGATATCCAAGCAGGGCTTGGTGTGTAGTGAAAAAGTTTAGGGTTTTGGTATATGGAGAAATTATATTTAATGGTTTTTGTAGGTATTTGATGATCTGGTGTTTTTGGTAGAGTCCATGCATGCATTTTTTGTTGCACGATAGTTAGAGTCATGCAAGTAGGTCTCAAAGGTTATCTACCTAGGCCTTAGGGGTGCTATGGTGGGGACCCTCTAACAATAATGAGAGGTAATTGTGGCCATTTATAACACTTCAATAAGAACTTGATAGACGTTCTGTGATTGAGGATGGATCAAGGGGGATCCTCGAGGGAGGTGGTTTCTATACCAAAGAGGGATGATTCCGTTCCATGCTCTTAGGTTATTCTAAGTTAATGATGATGAGGGGAAGATTGGTAACACATGAATGTATTGCTAGGAGTATGCACTCCATGAGTCTTATTTTATGATTGAGATAGTTTGAATGAGATGAATAGTTTTTGATGATGAAGGAATATGTAGTGATAAATGTATTGAGTTGAGTATGGATTTGAAGGGTGGGAGTGAAAATAATTCTATGTATAAAAATATGATCATGATACATGTCTTTAGCACTATTCTTAAGCCTTATATGTGATAACATGGATGAGATATATTCTTATTCCTTGTGTTTGTTGTTGAGTGTGTTTAGGTTGATCTCTATTTGCAGGCTTAGATCAGGTAGAAGGGGAAGAGTTTGTTGGAGGTGGAGCTTAATGTTTCATTGGTTATTTCAAGATCTTGCCATGATAGTGATGGAGGACCATCCACAGAGAGCTCACACATAAAGACCATTAAACCTTTAATTAGGTCCATGGTTAGGAGGCTAGAGGAAACTTCTACAGAGGAAGTGCTTCTTTAACCTATGCTTTATATGAGCATTGAGTACGATTCCTCTTATTAGTTCCTTAGTCTCTATTATACATACATTGTATAGTACTTTGTACATAGTAATACTTGTATAGGTGTAGTTTTGCCTTTGTATTTGTAAGGCATTTTTATTTTTCTTTGTAGGTTCATATCCTTAGGATTTTAGGGTATGCTACTTGGAGACTTGTACTCCATTTGACCTTGTATTAAAGTTCATAGTTTTTCATATTTTTAGTAGTTGTAGTGGGGTAGCAAATAACAAGTGTGTAGGTGAAGCTAGCAATTGGATCCTGTAACATCCCGAATTTTCTACTAATATAATAGTTGGTTATTATTTATTTTTATATACATGGAGATTATTTTCTTATAATTGTTTTAATTAATTAAATGAGTTTTATAGAATATTTTAGAGGTTTTCAATAATTATGAGTATTTTAATAATAAATATTTATGAAAATTATTTTGTATAATATTTTGATTTTTAGTAGCCTAGAACGGGTCGTTCCCAAACTGGAAGGGGCCGTTCCAAACTACTAAAATGGCCTATAACCTTAGTTGGGAACGGGCCGTTTTGGTTTAAGAACGTGTCGTTCCAAACATGACCGTTGTGAGTTAAACTCAACCCCAGAACAGGTTGTTATGGTTTAAGAATAGACCATTCTAGATGTGAATTTTACACATGATGAATGAGTCCAAAACAGGTTGTTTCGAATCCGAAATGGGCCGTTTTGGCCATTCCCGACGTCTATAAATAGGATGCTCTAGCACTCCTAAAAGCACATTTTCACTTCTGACTTCTTTTTCTTCTACACTCTCTAAAGACCAAAGGGAACCCAGAGGAGGAGACTAGCAAGATCCTACTTTAGTTTCAGCTCTTGCTTATCGAGGTAAAGGGGGAGTGAGAAACCTTGCTCTGGGTGTGGGAATATATGTTCGGTAGTGGGATTGGTCCCCAATCCTATATTTGTTGTATGCTCATGTATGAGGGGTTTTTTTTGAATTGTGTCTGTTTCATCTCTATTTCTCCCTGAATGTTTTATTTGATGTAATTAGTATGTATGTATGAGTTGTGTTTGTGTTTAGATTATAATTTCTGACTTTGGTGTTCCTTTGGGTTCTTATGGGAAACCCTAAGGGAATGCTTTGGTGATTGTAAGATCAGATTGTTTGAAGAGGCAATTATATGAGTCAATTGTATCGTTTTAAATGTTTATTGTATGAATTAAAGTGCTTTGTGGGTTCCTAAGAGAACCCTATGAGAAACAGGCAAAATATGAATGTTTTCTGTTTTTCTTTCTGATTGTTTTATTGTATTCCTTGTTGGATGAGATATACGAATATGTGTTTAATTTCGCAAATAGGCAAGTTTTGATATGAATTAAAGTGCCTTGTGAAGACTATGTGAATATGATGAGATAATATGAAATGTGAATATGAGACATGAGATATAAGGATATGTGATAATGTTATATGATAATGAGACATGATAATGTGATATAAGAATGCATAGAGTCTTGATTTACATGCAACATTTGCATAAATGTTTTTAAGGGTACGATATGGAATACACTGCCAGGAAAGGCCCCCTTGTGTAATAGCTTGGGGATTAGTCCTTGTGGATAACTCGATTTGGAAGTCCCAGTCTCGCTTATTGTGTGCATGTTTAGGGTTTAGGGTTTAGGGTTTAGACTACTCTCGTGTATTGCTAGCGGCAATACACCATGTGATATGTTTTACTGGCACCACATGCATGATAATATCCAGTCCGTGTCCATTGCATGTGCATTTTAATGTTATATATTAAAGTGATTTTTTTATGTCTTTGATGAATGGAATGATTGTTGTTAATCTATCTATACCATGTACATATACATGTCTTGTTTGTGTTTGGCTATCCGGTTTGTATTCCTACATTGTGAGCCAAAGTGAGATGTTTCTCACTCCCTTTTCTTTTGTGTTGTTTTCCTTTGACTGTTATACAGGTGATCATCAGCATGAGGCTAAGGATGTTGGTGATGAAGCATAGGCTTCTATGTTGGGCTTTGCTCTAATAGGACATGTGACATTAGGACATAGATAGGATTAGATTAGGATGTTGTTCTTATTAAATTATTTTGGAAACCTTAGCATTATTTTTCTTGTAATTTTCGTTGATTAAGTTTATTTGTATAAGTCATGGATGTGGTACTCTCTATCTAAACACATTTGGTATTTCAATTATTAAAGATTGTGTTATTCAAATTTTATTATTTAAGTCTTATGGTATTCATCTTCCAAGGTGACACCACTTGAAGAGAGTTATTCATCTTCCAAGGTGAAACCAAAGGTCTCTACCTCCATTAGAGACTTTGAAGAAGGTTGAGGAGTGTCAAGAAGCCAGAGATTTAGAAAGGAAAGAAGCAAAATCCATTTAGTTACTCCTAAAGATTTTCCATCATTTTTTGTTTAGGTTGATTCCCATTTGAAGGCTTAAATCAGGTAGAAAGGGAGGAGTTTGTTGGAGGTGGAGCTTCATGCTTCATTGGTTATTTTATGATCTTGTTATGATAGTGTGTTATCAGGGTTAGAGAGTCTACATTTCTTTTAGTTGATTGTGTTCATTAATTTTATGATATTTTGCCTTGTAAGAATTTTATGTAACTCACCAATTGTGCCTTACCTTGATTATTTTGAAAGTTTAATCATATTTTAATTTAAGACTTTTATTTTATGAAGGGTGTTGAAAATTATGAAATTTAAAATGATTTTTATTAAAAAAAATTATTATAAAAAGGTTGCTTATTACAATTTAGGGTAGAAGGGTATCACAACCATGGCTTCCATTCATATCCTTGACATGATTATGTATGAAACTATGTAAAGGAAAAAAATGGTTTAAACACAATTAAAAAATAAAACTCACATCGATTGAATAGGCTGTCCATATCAAAAAGCATGAAAGAAGACCCCAAATCAATGGCCAAGAACCGATAATCCAACCAAAACAAAGACTCTGTAAAAGATAGTAAAACAATAAGTTATATTCTACTTTATCAATGAGGGTCATCTTGAAAAAATAATTGTAATAAGGGATGTTTCTATATGTCACCAAAGTTAAACTTGAAGCAACAACAATAACACCAGTTTTATATGATATTTCCCCGGATGCCAATGGAAGATAAGGCTTGTTTATCTACAATAAAAAATAATATAAATTAGTAATAATATAAAGATTATTGTTCATCCTCATTAAACTTTTAAAGCTATAAAAAGTTATGTTCTCTCAACCATGTTAAAGGCTATAGTAATTTGGGAGATTTGACCAACCCAAATATACAAAGGAGTTTGGTTGTCAAAATCATATAAATTGCTCTAATTATTGGGTATGAGAAAATACTTTTATATGCACATAGTCTTTACATGTTTTTGAATATTTGGAAACAATTCTCTCATTGTATATTTTTATGGATTAAACACCCAAAATACATACAATGAAATATTATTTATTGCTACTATAGTAATTTTTATGTACCTTGTCTATTTCAATGTCAAATAATTGATTCACACCATTGATGTAGATATCCATAAACAAGTGGGGTACCATAACCTGAAACAATTTTAGAACTCAAAAAATATTGAAAACAAAGAGTAGTGAAACATTTTTAGAACTCAAAAAATATTGATTAAAACAAAGAGTAGGTTATGACTAGGTATTTAAAAATGGAAAATATATTTGGGACCTCACCTGTAATACACCAATAAAAAATATTGGAGATATATCTGATAATTTCTCCACTGCGAGGAGAGACGCAGAAATTATGCTTAATATCTGAAAAAGACAAATAAAATTGACTCATATGAAACATTAAGAATAACTATTATATTAAAAAAAGTGGTTCATACAAATTAACCAAATTTTGTATTAACCATAACTTTAAGGAATCATTATGAGGGTAATATAAGAAAAGTTCAAACATACTCGGGTAATAGTTGCTACTGGAATGGACAACTTATAAAAAGCAGTCAAGAAAGATTTTACGCAATCTAAAATGTTTTTGGAATCAGAAGCAGAACGTTTAGAATCGAAAGATGGTTCAGGAGTAGCTTTCACATCATATTTTCTACTGCGTTCTTGATATGTAGAGCCCCATCCAGTGCATTGGTAATGATGGTTCAAAGATGGTTGTCGCAACCTCCAAAATTTATGTTCTATTTGAGTTTTACTTTTATGCTCCAAAACTTTTGGTACATAACAATCTAGACCAAGAAAACATTAATGTAGTATCAATGGTCATGCATAACAAGAAAAATTCTTGTATTGAAATAATTGCAATTAAGATCACAAGACAACAAATAAAAGATGAATAATCAATTTAAAACCTAAAGTAAGAGAAGCCATTATAAAAAATTGTTGTTAGACTAGACATTAAGTAGATATTTAATTTTAAAAATTACTCTTTGAAAATTTTCTGAAACTCAATAGTCATGTACCTAATAAACATTAATACTTGATCATGTGAACTAAACAATTTTGAAAATGTTCATATTACTACGTTAACAAGAAAAACATTTTTATGGCTTTTATTTAGTATTTTCTATAGATATTTTGAAATATAAAAAAAAATGGTTTAAAAATATTTTTTAAGTTTTTTTAAGAAAATTGGTTTTTTAAATAAAAAGATTTTTATAAATTAGTTTTGACTTGATAGGAGTGATTATTAGTCCTACACATATGTATGTGGTGGGAAAATTAATGTCACATAATTATTGTAACACCTCAAGTTTTCAAAAATTATTAAAAGGAAATTTCAATTAATTAAAGTGATTTTTATAAAATATATTAGAGACTTTTAATAATTATGACTGTTTTTAGAAAATACTTGTGAAATTGTTCTATATAATATTTATTAGAGAAATATGTATGTTTATGATATTTTGTTATAGAATGTAGTTAGAGAAAATATATTTTGAAAAATGTGTTTTTATGGTATTTTAATATATATTGTTAATTACTATTATTATATTTTGTAATAATTATTTGGCTAGTTTTAATAATTGTTTTAATTATTTTATATGTAAATGGATATATTAATATTATAAATTTTTATAATTAAATGATTTAATTATTTTATTTGGTGAGGGAAAGGTTTTGTAACTAGGGTTAATTGTTTTTAACTATTAGGTTAAGATGGGGTTAAATTTTTTAAAAAAGAAATTAGTTAACCATTTTTTTTATTTTACTTTTTTTCTTCCTCTACATATTGGCTTGGGAACCAGAGCTTGTAGGAGAGCACCTCAAAGATCTATGTCCATCTTTTGGTGCTCATTAAGATAAGAGAGGAATGAGTAGTCTCACTCTGGATATGAGATAATTGCTGAGTTGTGAGATTGACTCTTAATCTCCCTTCAATTGTGTACAATGTATAAGAGGGAAACCCAATTTGTATCAGTTCCTTAATTTTTGTCTTCTATATGATTATTCATTTCTCTAATCGATGTAATTGAGTGGTACGTACACTTAATTCTATGTATTGAATTAATCTTGTGGATCTTGAACAACTCGTGGGTTCTTATGGGAACCCTAAAGGAATGCATTTTTGGTGATTATATGACAAGTTGATATGAGTATGTAATTATGTGCAGTATATGTAATGTCATTTGAAGTTATATATATAATTAATTTCATGTAATTTGAATAGTTTGAAAATTTGTGACTGTCTGTAGTTTCTATATGCAACCCTTTGTTCATAAAGCAAAGTGAAGATTGATGTTCATTGCATGAATATGTGAAATTAAGGTTGAATTTGAGTAACTAATGGTATAGTAGAGCAATATTAGACTTTAATCTATGTTTTTACTGATTGGATTGGAAAAAGAGAGTTTGGGTGTGAGTTATATATGTCTTGTTTTGAAAATTCTAGAATGAATATACCTTAGTATTTAAGTGATTTCTCTTTATGTGATTAATGAATCTGAGTTTTGATTATTGGGTTAGAAATTAGACATTTGGGACAATAATTTAGACTCAAGAATCACATAAAAATATTAAGGAATGACCGAGTTATGTGAGCTAAAAGATGAACCTCATATTTTGTGCGCAAAAGGTAACATGTGTAAGCTTTTTGAGATACTTAAATGGAAGAATTAGGTGTTGTAATATTTATAGAAGTTTTAGACCTAGATGTTATCTTTCAAATTCCATTAGAATCACCTAAAAAGGATGCATATAACTCTAGTTATGATGAAATCAATGAGCAAAGGTCAAATTGTCAAATTTAGGCTGATACGTTGCGATTTTGTATTTTTTTTTTCAAATAGTAAATGGTGATAATAAATAGTTTTACCCTTTAATTATTTGATCATATAAATGGTTTAATCGAAGTTCCTATATCATTGAAGAGGAGAGAGAAATCATGATCGAAAATAATATTTAATAAGTCATTATGCAAGTTGATTGGTAATGACTTGAGGTGTTTGGTGATAGCAATGTCTAATGACTTGATGTGTGATGTTAATAAGGTTGCTAGAATAGTTAAGATATTGATTTAAATGCTTAGTGATGTTGATCTCTTAGTGAGTATGGTTGATGTGGAGAAAAGATAAACATTAGAAGGGAGGTTGAATAGTGTGTATCAAAACTCACATGTTTTTCATAGTGAAATAGTAACCCTAGTCAAATGAAACGCGAAGAGCAGTTAGATGGAACACTTAGTATTTTTATACTGGTTGGTCTTAACCATTGAGGTTATGTCTAGTTTTCAATCCAACTAGATTGATTTTCACTGTCTTTAAACAAAGATACCAGTATTCTTTCAATAAGCCACTTCTGGCTCAACCCTAAGTATTCTTTAACTTGACTTTTCAAGCAACTATCCAAGTATTCTTTTATCAACAAGCCTCTTTAGGCTTAACAACCAAGTATTCTTTTATAGTCTAGTCTCTTCAGGCTCAAAACAACTATTTTTATAGACAAGTCTTTTCAATCTCGACCTTATAACAATTGTTATAAAGGTTACATATGTGTTGTGTTTGTCTCACTTATACAACAAGTACAGAGCAATGAGTGTTTACAGGAAAGAATAAATTTAGAAAGAGTATATTTCTATACAAGTGTATGTATATGTCTATTCTCTCTTATTTTGTTGAGCTTTGAATCTTCTTATATAGTAGTTCGGAGAAGATGATCATTGCAACACTTTGAGTCCATCTAACAAGTTTACTTCATTTTTCTTCATCGTTTTTCCTTATGATGGTAGGTAACCGTTTGTCTCATTTAATGTAAGCATTAAATACATTTCACCAAATGGTAACTCTTATTTGATCAAGGGGGCTACTTATCAATTTTCCATATTGTTGAAAGCCAAAAAATTTTGATCTTACCCACAGATGCTTTGGACTCCATTTTGAAAATCTCATTAGGAGGCAAAATCATAAAATAATTGTTTGATGTGGAACTTAATCCTTTTGGTTTCTTAAAAGTGGGACTAAATCTACAAAAAATAATCTATTTAAGGAGTCGTGTGTAACAGCCCAATTTTCACTAGGCCAAGAGCCCAATTAAGGTGGTTTAGTAGGCCGGAACGGGCCGTTCGAAAATTGGAACGGGCCGTTCCAAATTATTCAATAGACCTACTTTTGGTAGCCCGGAATGCGTCGTTCCGGATTTGGAACGGGCCATTCCAAATCATTAAATTTGCCTATGATTCTTAGTTGGGAACGGGCCGTTCCCAACTAGAACAGGCCGTTTCGGAATTCAGATATGGCCTTTGAACCTTATTGAGAACGGGCCGTTCTGGTTTCAGAATGGGCCGTTCCAAAATATGACCGTTGTGAGTATTAAATGCACCCCAGAACGGACTGTTCTGGTTTGAGAACAGGTCGTTCTGGATGTGATTTTTAGTCGTGAGTTAAAGGTTAGAACGGGCCGTTCCGGCGAAGCCTGAGGCCTATAAATTGAGCTCTCTGCCACTTCCAAAAAGCACATCTCTCATTTTCTGATTACTTTTCTTCTTCTCTCTCTTCTTTTCCCTCTATTTTCTGCTTCAGACCGAAGGGAACCCAGCGAAGGAGACCAACCAGATCTTGTGTAGATTCAGCTTCTACATATCCAGGTACGGGGGAAAAATGAATTATTTATATGTAGAGTTACATGAGGGAATTGGGTAGAGGAAGAGTCCCTTAAGATTATGAGTAATTTTATAATTATTTCTGTTTGGAGAATTATTGGTCTTACGTGATTCTGTACGAATTTAGGATTATGAATATATGATTAATTTGTAAAAATGATGCTCTGGGAGAGAGAATGAAATTATAGAAAAGTGTCTGTAAATTAGGTTGTGGAAAATTGGATTATTTCTGTTTGAGGAATTGATGATTCCATTAGATTCTGTATGTGTTGAGGATTAGAAATATATATTTAATTTGTAAGAATAATGATCTGGGAGAGAGAACGAAATTGTAGAAAAGTGCCTGTGAGCTAGGTTTTGGAACAATTGGGGGTTTTACTGTTTATATTAAATTATATTAAATTGGTAATTCCCTTAATTATTATATTAATTTATGAATGTTATTGTTATATTGCTTGATAAGAATTTATGATGTAGATGTGAATTGCTCGAAGGGTGTATAAACCCTTATTTTGTTGGACTTGCGTGTTGTGTATGTGATATGGAATTGTGTATGTAATATAGAATTGGGATATGAGATGAGATGTTGTGTGGATATGATGATGATTGTGATTGTGATTGTGATTGTGGTTCCTCAAACTAATGACCAGGGATGAGACGAACCTTGAGTAGTGATGCTTTAAGGACGAGCGTGCCCCTGGCATGGTGTGGGATGAGTGAGGCAGTTAACACACATCACTTATGTCAAATATGGAAGCCCTGGCATAGGGTTAATTGCAAGACTTGTGTGGATTGTAATGTGATTGTGGTTCCTCACACTAATGACCAGGGATGAGATGAACCTTGGGTAAGTGATGCTACAAGGACGAGCGTGCCCTTGGCATGGTGTGGGATGAGTGAGACAATTAACCCGTATCACTTGTGTCAGTTGTGGCGTGGCCTTAACATAGTGTTAATTGTAAGATTTATGTGGATTGTGATGGATTGATGTAATTGTGAATTGAGATGTGAAAATGATGAATGATTGATAAATTATGATATATATAAATGCTTCTAAATATTTTATTAAGTAATGAGTTATGATGAGATTACATTGTAGTGTGTTTGTATGTACTTTGCATATAAATATTT